TCCAAGACTCTCATCGATTCGAGTATAGATCCTATGCTTTCAGAAGTATAGGACCAATACTACCTTCCACACCTAACCATACTTTCCTCATCAATCCTCCTGAATCCTCTAAGTCGCTTCTTCAAGCCAAAGCACCAAAACTCACTAAACCATATCGCTACCGCACTAAAGCATATCCTTGGCTCTCCTAGGTTACCGAACCCATCCAACCCTCAGCTACTGAAGGAATCCCACCAATATCAATTAACTTCCTCATGAATATAGCCACATGCACCTAAGATCAGATAATCCTTCGAGTAAAAGACTCATCCCTAAAACGGTTGGACTCAAACAAGAGCTGCGTAATAGGGTCAAGTCCACCACTCTAAGATTATTTAACGTGTTCCACATATTACTTAGCATATTCACTTAGCAGTCAATTCACTTCAATAAGAGTCCCACAAAGCACAAAGCAAACAACATTCAGGCAACAAAAAAATCTAACCAACATACTCTAATCAAGCCATTCCATCTACTTATCGGATATATATATATATATATTAATATATATATATATATATATATATATATATATATATATATACAAACTAGATGAGTGGCAGGTTTCCCTCGACGAGTTAAGGTCAACATTGATTGTTGACCTTGACTTTGACTTTGTCCAGGGTTGACTCTGAGGGAATTTATGGGATGGTGTTAAGTGAATCACTTGCTGATTATATGTAGTTGAGAAGAGGCAGCGTGGGATAGATCTGAATTCAGTGTACCAATCTAGCATTCCAAAGGTGAGTCTTCTCACCATATCTATGGGTTTAAGGCACCAATGCCGGCCTATGATGTAATTATGATTTATGCATTAGTCATTATGTGATTTAATATGATATGTGATTGTGTGTTTTGCATAAAAGACCCCGGGGGGAGCCCGTGACATTGGATGTAAGACCATGTGGGGTGGCCCATGGCAGTCCTAGGTAAAGACCATGTGGGGTAGCCCATGACATTAGATGTAAGACCATGTAGGGTAGCCTATAGAAGTCCTAGGTAAAGACCATGTAGGGTAGCCCATGGCATTGGATGTAAGACCATATGGGATAGACCATGGCAGTCCTAGGTTAAAGACCATGTGGGGTAGCCCATGACATTCTTACGTGTTTTATGTATGCATGGCTTATGTGATATATGTATGTTATGGCTAATTTGATATGTGTATGTGGTTTGTGTGTGGAATATGCTCTGGGGGACTCACTAAGCATTTCGCTTACAAGTTGTTGATTTGTTTCAGGTACATCTGAGCCCAAGGGCAAAGGCAAGGCATGATGATGCGGCGTGCACTCTATCTCTCTTTCACTGATATGGTTTGGGAACACTTTGATGTTTTAAAAATAAGATTTTATGTATGTGGATTTGAAAACAATTGTGTTTGGATTTCGTGATTTATGCAAATGTGTTTGATTAATTAAAATGAAAATTTTCTTTGTAAAATTTGGATCATTACAATCAAAAGCCCCAAACACATCATTAATGATCGTCACACGTAAGATGTCATGAGAAAAACCTTAAGAAATCATTCATAAATACTGAATGAGTACAAAAACAAAAATGACTTATTTTGCAAAAAAAAAAAAAAAAAAAAAAAAAAAAAAAAAAAAAAAAGATATATTTATGGACTAAATGTGTACAAAAATATGAAGGATTAAATATATACAAAGTGAGAAAAATATATTACCTTATTAAGTCACTTTTACCGGCTAGCCTGGAGTAGTCGGTCATAAGGACGGAATGTGTACAGTTTAACAAATTGAAGGGTAAATATTGACGAAAAAAACTTAGTGACCAAATATGTAAAAATAAAAAAAATATATTACCTTTTTAAATCATTATCCCTTTTTCGTAAAAAAGAAAAAAAAAAAAAAAAAAACTTAGACTATAGATATGTTTCTTTTCATTATAACCTGTTGAAAAGGTAAAATTGATCTAAAATGAGGATTTTCTTAGTTTCTTGAGTTTTTCTATTAAAAAAAACCAAGACTAAATTGTCATTTTTTCAAAAAATTTGAAACTTTTATGATAAAACCCCTTAAAAACATAGAGATATAATAAATACGTATACAAAATATAATAGAACATAGAAAAAATTTATTTATAATGTATTTTTACATAAAACTTATTTATAATATTTATGGTTTTATATGACCTTATATGTGAAAACTTATTATGTATACTTATAGCAAATATATTAAAAAAAACTCATAAACACGTAAATGTAACTTATAAAATTTAATAAAACATTATTTTTTAACTTATAAATTTAAAGAAACATTATTTTTTTAACTTATAAATTAAAAAAACATTATTTTTCAAAATTTATTTTTATTAAAAAATATTTTGATTTTCTCTTAAAGTAATAATAATAATAATAATAATAATAATAATAATAATAATAATAATAATAATAATAATAATATTAATAATAATAATAATAATAATAATAATAATAATAATAATAATAATAATAATAATAATAATTGAAGTTAAACCTTTAGGTTTTAATAGATATAAAAGCGAGTGTAAAAGAAAAAGCAGACAATTTGTATAGCCTAACTCGTAAATGATATGTATGGGTTTCTTAGTGATGTAGGTTCTATTGTCTTAAAAAAATTTAAGGACTACCTAAATTTAAGGAATATTGTCTTAAAAATTGAAGGACTACCTATTGTTTTAAAAAAAATCGGGACTACATTCATCAAATCATTTATCCAGTTGGCAACCTATACTAAAACGGTAAAATTGAGCTAAAGTGAATGATTTTCTGGTTTTTTTGGGTTTTACTTTTCAAAAAAAAAAATTTAAGGACTACATTGAAATATTTTTCGAAAGTTTTAAGATTTTTTTGATAAAAACCACTTCTTAAATTCCAATATTTATTTTAATAAATTGATTTATTATTATTATTATTATTATTATTATTAAACGTTAAAAAGAATTATATACTGAGCCTCAAAAACGGATGTAACAAATACGTCTCATTGTATTTAACAGGGAGAGGGAGAGAAGGAGAGCGGATAGTAGAGTGGGTTGCCTATTCTTGATTTTTCTAGTTTTCAAATATTAAGAAAATATTAATATAAGGTCAAAAACAAATAATAAAGAAAAAAATAATCCTTTCAAATCTATCAAGACCAAAATAAGAAATTATTGATTTTGGACCTTCTATATACTTAAAAACTTTTTAGACCTTATTTATAGTATTTTTTGCAAATCACGAGACCAAATGTTGCAGTTTAAAACGAACTAAGTTATTAGTGATTCACCTAAACAATACAAAACCAATGATCATCCATCAACTTATTTGAACATAATCCAGGATATGTGCTATATCATCGTCTTCCTTTGTATTGTCTCCATTATCTTTATAAACAACTATCGTTTACATAAATTTGGGCGTTATATGTTGTGTTGGAGTGGTTTTTTCTCTTCCATCATAAACGTATACAATGTATACTATATGATTTACACATAGTGATTATTAGCGAGATATTTCACGATCTATCAGATAACGATTTGATGTAAAAGTAACAACACGAAGAATAAATTCTGATCGCGAGAAAATATCTAGTTTTAATTTTAGTAAATGTGTATTGGTTAGTTCACGACCAAAATAATAGTTGTTTGTGATCAAGTGAAAATTTAATGGTCAAATAAAAAACTGTTATTCGAGCCTTGAATCATTTTGAGTAAATATCAAAAAATAAAAGCCGTATATTAAACGCTTCCAAAATGCCCCCATTATTTTTATAAAATCGACAACTTTTGAGCGCCAAACATGGAATGGAAATGAAAATGCAGTTACCAAACTATGAGAAAACCATGCCAATTTCTTCGCATCAATGCAACCCCTTTCACCATGTCTATGTGAGAGAATGAACACGGTCCAAATTTTCTTGATGGAGAGAGATTGGATTGGTTCTTCGCTCTAATCTTTGTAAGAAAAGATTGAAAAACACCAATAAAAAAATGGCGCAGGCACAACCAGAAGAAAAATTGCAGGAAATAAGAGACAAAGAAGCATCCAGGAAGGAAGAAAAAAGGGAAATTTCCAGTTCTCCTTCTTTTAAATTCAATGCACACGCCCCTGAATTCGTCCCTAGTTCGCACACCCAGATTCCGGTTTCCGGTTATTTTTATCCATGCTTTAACTATCTAGGTGTCAGCGGGAACGACGGCGGTGGTTCCGGTGAATGGGTTTATGTTGGTGGCAGCGATCAAGATCAACAAGTGCAGTTTTTCTCCAATCCAGATGTTGTGATCCCCAACTATTCGAAGAATGTCCTCACCGAGGATCTTCAACAAAAAATCATCAAACAGGTCACTTCTCTTGTTTTTCAGAATTAAATATCCATTAATCCGAATTAAGAATAAATTTCCCAAACAAGGGTGTTTCATTTTGTTTTCAAAATGAGTTTTTATCACATCCCTAACAGGTGGAGTATCAATTTAGTGGCCTGAGCCTGCTTGCAAACGAATCCCTGGTGAAACACATTAACAAGGACCCTGAAGGCTATGGTGAGCTTTTACACCATTCGTTTTTATCCATGTAATCGTTTTTTATTTTGTGGATCTTGTTTTATATTAGCATCATGAAAATGAATATGTGATCTATGAATATTTCCTTGTGTAACAGTTCCTATATCTGTTATTGCATCTATGAAGAAAATCAAATCTTGCATTACAAATAATCATCTTCTTGCTCAAGCTCTTTGCTCATCTTCAAAGTTGGTATGTTCTTTGACATTTGAACAATTACAATTTACAATCGGTTCTTCATCGGTCTAATTGTGTCCTTGTTAGGTTGTAAGCAATGATGGCAAAAAAGTTAGGCGTAAACACCCCTTCACGGAAAAAGACAAAGAAGAGCTTCAGGTTACTTAACTAAACTTGCATACTAATGCTTAGGCTGTATTGCATTTGACGTGCTTTGACAGTGATACAAAAGTTGTTGTCTCTTGTTTTGTACTGTTCAGTCTTGTTCTGTTCTGTGTAACAAATGCAACGTTATCAATCATCTTGCAAGTTTTTTAGGACATGAATCAATGTTTCTTTTTTCCATGTAGTCTCGCACCGTGGTTGCAGAGAATCTTCCTGAAGACCATTCTCATCAAAATCTTGAGAAAATCTTTAATGTCGTGAGAAGGTAGAATTTGGAACCCATTTTTATATCAAGTTTCATCCGTTTAATTTTATAAATTGTTGAATGAGTTTGCTTATTGTATAGTGTGAAAGCCATACGTATTTGCCATCCACCAGAGCCTAATTCCTCACGTTCTAGAGGTGATTATGTTTTTAGCAACAAGGTATTATCAACCCATTATTTACTTCATTTGATCTTTTGTTATGTTCTTTACTTAATTAAACATGCTTTATTTTTGCTTTAAAGCTTCATGCTTTGGTAGAGTACGAAACTGCAGAAATGGCTGAGAAAGCGGTACGTTTTTACTATAATACTATTGAATATTCAACACTAGGACTGGACTGACCGGATTGGATAATCTTTTTAGGGTTATTTTCAATGATAAGGACGTAAAGGACATTCATTTCCTTTCCATTTCCGGTCCCACCTTCTTTCACCTTTTTGAATAGGATAAAAAGTTGCAATTTTTGTCCTATTGATATCAGTCTAGAGTCCCAGGTACATTTTGTTTTGTCTTGTCATGTGTGTATCAAACAAATTTTAAGAAGTTGTGTTTTCAGGTTGAAAAGTTGAATGACGAAAGGAATTGGCGAAAAGGGCTAAGAGTTAGGTTGCTGCTTCGTCGTTCTGTATGTGATATACGCTTCTTGTTATTTAAATATCGATTTACTCTTTATAAAGTTTATGCAAATCTTATGATTTAAATGTACAGCCAAAGTCTGTATTAAAGAGCAGGAAGTCAGAGTTTGATGGAATACTTGACGATGATAATGATGAACTATTCGATACGCCTGAAGAATCCTCTCCAACTATCTTCACTGAAACTGTTGTCGATAATAACGTAAGCCCATAAACACTGTCACTGTCACTGTCACTATCACTATCACTATCATTGTCAGTGTTATCATTGTCATTGTCACTGTTATCGTTTCCGTTAATATTTATATATGTTGATGTTGATTCTGATAATGATAGGTTGAAGAGGGTTCGAAGAAAGGATGGGCACGATTACGTGGGAAGTCAAAGATACGAACGCCGACACATAACGGACGTGGGGTTCTTTCAGGGTCACCACAATCAAGTGGGTCGGCCCATTCCGAAACATCATCACCTAAGTTGAGTCCAAAAGGGCCAAGAATGCCAGATGGAACAAGGGGTTTTACCATGGGAAGAGGGAAGCCAATGTCTCCTCATGCTCTAACTAGCACACCATAAGTGTTGTTTTAAATTTTGTAAGGTTAGCTCTATATAGTTCATGCTAGTTTTTTTATTCCCCAAACATCAAACTATAGGAGGAGTTTTATTTTTATTTTTATGTTTTTATTTGTTTTGTATTTTGTAATAATTTGCTGTTTTGATGAATTCCTTTTGTATATTTATGATTTAAGAGTGTGATTGTGTTTGTTGCCTGATAACATGTTTGTCTGATATTGTATGTTATATATATTTATTTTATTGATGTTATTAGCGATACAATAAAATACTCTCTGAGGAGGGTGCAAACAAGTCGAGTTGAGCTCAAGCTCAAGCTCGAGATTAAGTAGGCTCAGGTTCGGCTCATTAAAATTCATGGGGCTAAAGCTCGAGCTTACTTTTCAAAGTCTGAGCTCGACTCGTGGATGAATTAAAATGCTCGAGTTCGGCTTGCGCTCGAGAGCAAGAATTAAAATACTCGAGCTCGGCTTGGGCTCAACCTGTTTGTAAGATGAACCTAAACGAGTCTAAGCTCAACTTGGTTAATAGTCAAATATCAAGCTCGTTTTTGTTTTTAATTAAAAAACTTGTTTTGATATTTATTTATTAATTTATAATTTAATATAAAATTAAAATTAATGTTATATACATATACATAGGTTTGTTTACGCTAGCGAGCATAATCGAGCTCAGCAGATGAAGCTCAGGCTGGAGTTCATGAACCTGAAACTAAGCTCGAGCTCGTTCAACTCATGTTCAAGTCAAGTTTTTTACGAATCGATCCCGAATAGCTCAGCTAAAAGATAACATTTCTATGTCTTAAAAAATATATTATTTTTCAAACAATTTCTATTAAAAATTTTGTTCTATTGTAAAAGTGGTTTCAGATGATTGCTATAATTTAAAAACTAGAAAGACATAATTAGATAATCATATGATACGATTGAAGTTATGAATAATCATTTAAATTTATATAAATTATCTTAAAAAAAAACACTTTCATATGATAAATCTTTACTATTGAACCTAAAACCAAACACAGATTTCTTTTCTGTCACACATTACGAAACTGATCAAACAGTAATACTTACTTTCGTAGTAAAACCTTATTTTTTTAATTTTTTGCTGAAATGTATTATGTATATAGAAGGTCAAAGTTTCATTTTGAAACAAGCATGGCCTATTAGCTCAGTTGGTTAGAGCGTCGTGCTAATAACGCGAAGGTCGCAGGTTCGAGACCTGCATGGGCCATATCTTACATTTTTTATTCATAATTTCTATTTTGAAGTCCAAAACTGCCTTCTGTCTTTTCTTTCTTTTCCATCCCTAAGCTCAAAATTTATACCTTTCCTTTCTAAAAATCATTTTTTTTAAAGTTGAGACCTGCATTGGCCAAATATAACATTTTTTATTCATAATTTCTATTTTGAAGTGAAAAATTATAGCCGTATAGTTATAGGCACATCAGCTTTTTCTTTATTTCCATCCCTAAACACAAAATTGTATCTTTCTAGAAATCATTTTTTTAAATAAAATAACTACCAAAGTTTAAAAAAAAAGTAATTCAACAAGTATAAAACAAAAACTTAAAATCAGTAGTAATTATCTTTCTATACAGTTTTAATTTTTACGTCTTTTACCATAAAATTTCTGAAAATAAACAGAATATGTTTTTATCGGACGATTGTTGTAAAATTATACGTTTTCATATACCACTTGCATAAATAAAAACATATACCATTATACCCCTATAAAAAATGGACAACTACTACTACGTAAACATATCGCACAAGGGATTGTTGATTGTAGTTCATCGGTTACACACAAGTAGAGGTGTGCATTTACCGGTTTTGAATGGGTTTTTGTTTTTCAAAAACCTATCCGGTTTTAAGCAGTTTTTTTAGATCGGGTTCGGTTATAGTCGGCTTGTTTTGTCAATTAAAACATCGGTTCGGTTCGGTTCAGTTATAGTAGAAAACTGGTAAAAATCTGATTTTTGTTAAAACCTATTTCTAACCGACGGTTTAGTTTTAGTTGAACCGGTTATTAAAAAACAGTTTAAAATTCTTAATTTCTCAAATCTGATTTGCAAAAAAAAAAAAAAACATTTTTGGACTTTTTTGAAAAAACATCATAAATGGTCCCTGTGGTTTTCCAAAATCTGAAGTTTAGTCTCTGTGGTTTAAAAACGTCATAGATGGTCCCTGTGCTTTGAAAACTTTTGACGATTGGTCCTTATTGCTAACTTCGTTAAATTTGTCAGTTAACTAAAGGGCATTTTCATCTTTTCACGATCACAGGGACCATTTATGAAGTTTTTCTCTTATTTAATATAATAATAATAATTATTATTTAATATTAAATCTCTCTCTCTCTCTCTCTCTCTCTCTCTCTCTCCATGACCACCATCAACCTCCCAAGATCCACACAACCATCGCCACCTTCTACCATCATGAATCACCTTATTCCTCCATTCACCATCACCGAACACTGTTCCCAACTCCACAATCTCCATTCCAGCCACCGTTTCACCAAGACCCACCTTTACCATTTCACCACCATGACCACCAAAACCACCACCCATCACCACCCTTATTTCCTCAAAACTTACAGCCACCTTACCCTTACAGTCCTACTCCATAAACCCATAGCAATTGACCTTCAAACAAACCTTCACAACTTTCTAATTCCAGTCTCCATTCACTTACCTTCATCAACTTCTTCTCTCCTCTTCATCCCCCTACACCACCCACACAAACATCACTACCCAACGTCACCTTCAATCACCAAAGACCTCCCATATTCCTCCATTATCATCATCCCTAATAGCTGCAAATGTAAAAAATAAAAGATAAAAGAAGAGTCTAGTCTATTCAGAAAGGAGAAAAAGGAGAACTGTGATCGAGATTAGAAGAAGGAGAATGAGGATGTGGCGTTGGGTGACTGAGTTTGTCGATCGGATTCTATGAATCGAAGGGGGGTCTGATTTCTAATTTGATACTATTTTTAATTACTTGGCTGTCTCTCTCTGGCATGTTTAATGGAATCAACCACCGCCAGTCGTCCTTCTCCGATTATCCCTCTCACCGTTGATGTGAAACCTCGTCGATCTAACCCTTGTCGGAGTTTCAAGGTCCGGTTTTGTCAATCTAACCCTTATCAGAGTTGCCTATTAAAGAAAGCCCAAGCACCGCCGGACCCACACCGATGATGAACACATTTGAAAGGGGTTGACAATTGGAAGTCAACTAAATGGAAAAGGGTTGACGACTCAGATTTGTCGGAGAGGGAAAAATCAACATTGATCTAGCAGTTGTTGAGCATGGTGGGCTGGGTACGGTGGGGCGTTTGATTTACCACGATGGGTGCAGTCGGTAGTCGATGAATCATGGCACCATGAAAGCTTTCAACTTTTTGTACACTGTGTGAGATAGGGAAACAAAGGAGGGGGAAGGAGAGAGAGAGAGAGAGAGAGAGAGAGAGAGAGAGAGAGAGAGAGAGAGAGATCTTTGTAAATAAGAGAAAAACTCCATAAATGGTCCCTGTGATCGTGAAAAGACGAAAATGTCATTTAGTTAACGGACAAATTTAACAGAGTTAGTAATAAAGACTCATCGTCAAAAGTTTTGAAAGCACATGAACTATCTATGACGTTTTTAAACCACGTGGACTAAACTTTAGATTTTGAGAAACCATAGGGACCATTTATGATGTTTTTTCGACTTTTTTTGTGAATGTTTTTTTTCAAAGAATAATTCTACAGCAAAAACGGTGTAAAATTAGAGTTTTAAGAAAGATAAAAAGAAAAAAGTGTTTTATATATGCGGACGGCTCAAAAAAGTTTTTTGGTAGGCTAAAATGACTTTTTCGCAGCCCATCTACCGATTTAACAAGTACTACCAATTACCAAATCATGGTTATTTTTTATATTTGATTAATTTTTTATTATTTTTTGAAAAGTGGTAAATGAGATTAGCCTATTTCAGTCTTTTTGTATTTAAGGATATACTAATTGAATTGATATAGAAGATAAATGCAAATAAAAGAGTTTTTGCATTATATTTATAAAGATGACTACTTATATTTTTTTGGAAGTTGCTCAAGCCATAAGCTAAAAATTGAGGATGAATTGCATAAATAAAGTTTAAGTTCAAAAATTACACATTCCAAAAATTGTTAGTGTTATTTGAAAGTAAAATCTGCAAGCTAGCATAACATAGATATAATAAATCACGAATTTCAAGCATACAAAATAAACTTGGCAAAATAATTTTAGAATTTAACTTAGATTCGGAAATCCTGCTATAAAATTAAGCCATATGAGAAACTAGCAAAAGGCAAGAAGCTCATTGTCACTTTGAATAGTGGCCATGTCTTGCTTTCCCAAACACACAAGTGCTTCAATACCATCCCTGTTTGGAGTATCCATGAGAATAAAACTATTCTTCCTTAAATTTCCAGCAATGGTTACTTTTACAGGCTTTCCCCACCCAAAATCAATCTCATATCCAGGAAACCCACACATGCTTGAACACATATACATGTGATCATCATTCATTTTGATTTCTTCTAAATCAGCTTGGGTAAAAAGATCAAACACGGTTTCAATATTTCTTATGCCTAAAAGCTCCAACTTTTTCATCTTCAGGTCATTGATGAATGACTCTGCACTGATTTCACTTTCGTTATTTGTTTCCATCTCAATTGCCACAGCGAAATTTCCTATGCTCTTTTCAGGCATCGACTCAATCATCATGTTTCTTAAGTTTAACGCGTGGTAAACTCCAGTGGGTTTGAAGGAGCCTGAGTTATTCTTAGTAGTTGCTCCCACTACACACTTGTAAAGTAGCCAACTCAAAACTTCAACACGAGTAGCGTTTGTGATGGGTTCAACACATTGTGATGTTATGGCTTTGACTTTGAGTTTAAGCTCGTTTATCTTTGAGTTAGGGAACACGAAACTTCTTGTGACACAGTCCTTCGATTCATAATCAAGCGAATCTCCAATATAATTCAGTTTAATGGATTCAACAGAAATGAACTTGGGGTCAACTAGAACTTCATGTTCATGCTTATCGGAGAAAAACCGTGTCATTGTAGCCCAATCGTTTATAAACTGAACCAAACTGCTTCCATCTGCTATCTTGTGGGACATCGACACTGCAACCGCTACTCCACCGCATTCAAAATGGTTGACCTGAACTGCAAGTGGGA